TTGCCCATTAACAGGATACGACTATCCGACAGCAAATAATGAGTCCCAAAGACCCGTTACCGGGTGTAGCATTTGATGGTTGACATGGTCTATAATTTATGGGTTTGCGTCCTCTCCCAGCCCAGGCTCATTGACATACAACTGCCAGGTGGGCAAGGGGGAGGGTTAATCGTAGGTCATCAAGTAAATCTAACCAACTCGTACGTCGTCTTCCCCATGCCACGTTCGTGTGGAGCAACTAGCGGACGTTATCGAAACCGAATTTCGAAAGATAGTATGTATGGTTCCATGAGTTTCACGTTGAATCTAGCACATTCATACAATCTTAGCCGAAAATATAAATCGTGCTTTCATGCGTATTTGTATTGGGGACCTACCATATGGAAACAGGAGGTAGTTTGTATCTGCATCCGGTCTCTGGCCATCCAAAAACTGCATATTTCCAATCAGACTGGTGTTCTAAAGTAAGAGCAAAGTACAAGGTTCAGTGCAAAAATAATTTCTTAAGTGGATTAAAGGTAACTTCCTCAATACAGCCAACTACCTTTTATATGTAAAACATGTCAACTTACGTGGACGCTCTCGGCGAACAAAAGTATAACTTGGCTGGCTACAAGGTCAGACGCCAATATCGTCTTAACTACGCCAACACCACTGGGAACCGAGGACTCTGGTTAAAATAAAATGTTTTTTTTATTGTTTAAAAGTGTACTTTCTAGCAAAATTTATTTTAAATGATATTTATTATCTCCATTCCAATGTATGACTAGGTAAGATAATATTTCTGGCAAATAATATTTCCTAAAATGAAATAAGCTTTCGTGCGAGAGGGCCTTGCGCTAGAACGGTTTTATTTAAAAATGATGCACATTTATCCCTACGGAGGTTAATCGAGGTGGTATATTTTAGACAGAAAGCAGCCGTCTTTTTAAGAGTGGCCGAAAGGTAACCTGACAGAATACAGTGTAAAGTACTGTTTAAACAAGCCCTGTAAGTAAGTAGGGGTAATTAGCGGCTTTGCTGTTTGCAAAGCAGGTATTATGACGAAGATGGGTGATGTCAGCATCTTTATTTTTAATTTTATTAAAATTTTCTTTTAGTTATAAATATGTCCCTGAAGAACCTTGTAAATCTGGCCCATACGGCACCTAGAAACAATTTTCGCAGATAAAACCTAACCCTCCATTCCATAGTTGTGAATAAACTAGATGCCTTTACTGAGTACTCCAAGTATGTATATAGTAAATAGACATTTACAGTAGTCGCTAAAGACCAGGCAACTTTCATGGTGAAATTTGACCTGGTACTTTAGCATATATTTGGAAACATTATTGTAAACAATTTTTACCCCGCTCGAACTCCCGACCTCAATCAACTTGAAAATCCCTTCCTTTGAATCAAGCGAAACTGGCAAAGGCCTCTGAAGTATCTTTCAATGGAAAATAAATTGGAGTTCGTTCTTAATAATTATATATACCACACCACAACATCGTTGACTCAATGCCCACCCATAAGAATGCTTTTATTAACATTAAAGGACCCACAACAAAATGTAAGTATGTTACATATTTATTGCTTTTCCTCCTATTTTCTTACACTTTTGTCATTTATATAACGACTTTTAATCCATAACCTGTCCTACAGGCCTTTTTTGGATTTGGCAGTTTTCGGTGAAACATATTAAGTCTAAGGTAGTAAAATATACTTCATACATCTTAATATGCCTCCTTTTAAGGATTATTTCCTTTCACGCAGTATAACTCGTGGGTCCGTTGGGTAAACGTTTTGCGAGCTACAACGGTCTTCATACAGACTTGACTGTTTTGAGCGATTTTGGCGACTACTGTACTTACCGGTTACATTTCCTTTCTTCTTCTTGACAATTATTGCGGACGGCAATTTTGTTGTATCCATGGGAGACGCCACGATGATCCCCGATTGTGCATTCGGGTGTGGAATTAGGACTGCAAAATCCTTAACTATGAAAAGAAAAGAAAGAATTAGGTGGCGTACACGAACAAAAATAGAGAGGAAAATACAAATCATAGGTCTATAAAATTTTACAGAAACGAATATAAGCATGTGTTAGAGGTCCGTTAAACGAATTCGTGTCAGCAAAACAAACGACTTACGAGTGAGTTGCTGCCAACAAGACTTCCCCATTTCGCAAGGTGTGGAGTTTGTGGCTGTTGGAACCAGCGTCTTCCCTACTTTAACAGACTGCAATATTAAAAGCGGAATTAAATATCTTTAAATCACTTTTAGAGGGAAAACTTTAGAAAGATGTAAAGTTCACCTTAGGTGGGCTAGGTGCAACGTAGATATAAGCAAAGGACGTATCCGGCGCAATGCTAATACTGCCATCAGTACCACCTAAAATGAGAAGACATATTTTGTTTTAAGTTGTTATGTATGGTAAACCCTCATGACAAACAGTACAAAGCTACGAACGATTATTATACTAAGTAACATACACAGCCCGTGAGCTATCAGAGTGAAGAGAAGGCTGGTGAGGAACATTTTCACTGAAACAGAAGAAAATGGACAATAGGGTAATATGGACTATTTAGATTATTCAATTACAGTCAACCAACTGACCTAGAACAACTTTGGTGATGAAATTTGACTGGGTACTTTAGCAATTATTTGGTCACAATATTTTGTCTGATTGGGTGCAACTAATTCTGCGGAATAATTTGAATTAGGAAAATCAACATTTTAGTTGGATTTATTATGAGAAATGGTCATTAATTTTGGCGAAATTAGGAGTAGTTTCACATCGAAGGAATTTTGCTATGCTATTATGTAAGACTGAACAGAACTTCTTATTAACATTGATTAAACTACGGAGGAACTCCGAAATAAGTAAAATAGGTACAGAAGACAGCCCTTCCAGAACTGGAATATTTGTCCTAAATTGTTCAGATTCAAGGTGAGCAAAGTTAAAAGCATCACATTTATTTTCAGAGAAATGTAACTACTTATGCGTCAAAAATTAGTTTAAGCTAACCTATGAAGTTATTTCGCATTAAATGCAGAAACGAACACCTTCATCGCATTTTGCTTAAACCACACCGCTCACCTTGGCGAATTATCTAAGTGTCCGCATATTTTACCGCGAAGGTAATAAAAACAGGCAATCTTGCATGTAAGTCATTTGGAAATATACTTTTTTAAACTATAAGTTTCGCTTATGCGTATATTAGGAACGGAACAGACAGAAAAATGATAATTTTTCAAATAATGACCACTCTTTTTTGCATTGAGAAGCTTACAACAGATTCTGAAAGTAATCCAATATGGCGGAAAATAATCCTATATAAAGGGGAAAGTTAATTCTCTCATTTCCAGTCAATAATGATGGCTTTTCTTCAGGTTGGTTAAAAAAATTTGTCAAAATTCTACAATTTCGTTGTGACATTACCTTGGATAAACTTAATTTACACAGAAATTCTTAAGCTGAACATCTAATTAAAGCACTTTTTAAAAAGGAAACTTACAGTAGGTTGCCAAACTCATGCAATCCTACGATTTTTACAAGTAACTCCCTCTTACTCAAACGCAGCTCGAGCTCAACGATTTTTTCAAGTAACTCCCTCTTACTCAAACGCAGCCCAAGCTGTGGCCTAACGTCTTACATGAATAAAGTTATGATCGTTCTTCACAATAGGGCATATTATGTCTTACAGCAATAAAGTTATGATCGTTCTTCACAATAAGGCATATTATGATTTTCTTACAGCAATAAAGTTATGATCGTTCTTCACAATAGGGCATATGAATGAACATAAAGTTTTATAGAGACACCAGCTTTTTTAACGAAGTGGAAAATTCCGAAAAAGTGGAAATCGGGCGCTAGGTAAACTTAAGTTTTACATCAAGAGGAAGCCCGTTTATGCAAAACCGCTGAGTAAATAAAGCGGCACAAGTAAAATTACTTTGGAAAATAATCGTTTTG